CTCTTTCAAGTATTCCTCCGACTTAACCTATGGATATACAAATATAATATATATCAGTGAAAGATAAATGAATGAAAATGAAATAAATACATAAATAAAAAATGATAAATAAACAAGAGAATGAAAACAGAAGAGACAGGGAGCCCAACGTTAAAGATATACAAAAAAGCACAGGGAGACCAAACAGAAAATAAAGAAATTAAAAAGTAATTAAAATTAAAGAAAACAAAATATATAGAATTATTTGCCTGTGGTGATGTGGTCTTTTTCTTGCCTTCTCACCGTTCTGCTCAGCTTCTACTGTCCACTCTCTTTCTTCATCATCAGAGTCCTCTCTCTCTCTGTTTAAGGCTCTGTAGAAGTTAACATCCTGGTCATCTATGTCGTCACGATCGTCAAGAAACGCTCGATCTTCCTCATTCTCTGATTCAATCGATTCTTCGTCTTCGTTATCACTGTTCATGACATCAATACCACGATCGTTTTCAACTGTAGCGTTATTAGGTTCTTGGCTCCCTAGAAGCTCCATCAGAATATTCAGGTTTTCGTCATCTTCTACAGAATCCACACTTCCTTCGCTTTCGGAGATTTTGATGTCAATTTCGTTAAGTATCTGCTCGAAGTCAGCTAACAGTAAATTATAGCTTTGTTGACTCATAATGAGCAGATTATCAACAAACTGTTTCAGCAACTGGTTTGGGTCTCCCTCTGATACAAAGCACTTCGGTTCAGTGAAGCCAGGGATATTTGAGCAGCAACTTACGCTCAACGGTTCATGTCTGTTTTGCCAGGATAATTTTTCCGTGTTCTTTGGTAGATTGTCTTTGTTGAACATNAGACGGACTTTTGCTTCACAGGTTTTTTCATGTTGATGACAGTTTGAAGCTCTTTTCCATAACTTGCCGCACCGCGTACACTTGTAAGATTTGCTGTAGCGAGCAAAGTCCTTGATATAGGAGAAGTGATCTTTGAAGAGGTTTAAGTACATGGTTGTTGGGTAGTGACGGTGGCTGCGGCGAACAAGGATTGCGAAGGGCTGTGGATTTTCTTCTTCTTCTTGATCATCACCCATTTCAAGTGAATAGATGATGTTGACTTCATAGAGCTTTTCTAAGGTATCCAATTCTTGTAAAGTGACTCCTTTGAATCTTGATGAATTTGAGCCCATTTGCACTTCATACCTGAAATTTGAAAAAATATTATAAAATGTACACAATTGATAAATAAGAAAATAGAATCAAAACCTTAAAATAAAGAAATAATAAGATAAAATAAGATAAATATATAGCATTTCTTACTGTCTAAAGTAGTGCTTTGTGTCTCTCTGAAGGTTTCTGGTGTGGGCACCGTTATGCACAGCCAAACAGCGAAAAAAGCACAGCCAGTCTTGATATGGAGTACCAATTTTTGTATCACGTTCAAGGGGAACGATGGCTCTGTTATAAACAATGTAGCGAGGAAGTTTTGTTTTAGTCACATAGAAGCAGACGTTGGTGACCCAATCGACGATCCACTTGCTATTCGGTCTTTGAAGTTTAATCCATTGAATAAAGTCAATATCTTGAAGCGTTTCAATGACTTGYTCAATGTCGTTGCGATGATTGACTTGAAAAGGCTGGTCAAGAACGCGGTGATTATTCGAAGAGGCGTGATAGTAGTGTAGTTCACCTGTCTCATTGTTTCTTAGTATAAAACCAAATGCCAGGTTAATCTTGAAAGCAGTGGATTGGTCAGCAAGTATTTGACGCAGGTATTCGGGAAACTGCTGGTGCCCCTCTCTCGTTATTCTGAAGTTGTACCAATCTTGTCTGCGATTATTTCGGCTTTGTCGTGTTCMTATGGCACTCCAGTGTTGTTGKAWYGWTTCCCGTATATCTGCGTCGGCGTTAGGAAAAATGGTCGGTGGCATTATTGCAGGGTCAGAATCGAAGGGCCCTTTGTGAGAGGCTGAAAGAAGAAAGCAAACAGACAAAATATAAGCATGAATTCAAATAAAATATTCTATCACAAAAGTCCTAAGAGCAAAGAATCATAGCAAAACAAAAACAACAACAAAAAATTCAAGTGTTAATAAAAATAAGATCTATATACCTTCTACTCGCCTTCTCTTTGGTGTCGAAGAAGCTCCTTCGTTTCTTTTTCTCTTTTCTCCATTGCGCCGGCTCGTTGAGGGTTTTGGGTGCTGTGTTTCTTTGTGAACTTTCAACTGCGCAACGGAATTGAACACATGGTTGCACTCGTTGCATCGAAATTCTCTTACAATTCGTTGATTGACATTGTGCTTGAATTTAATGTGCGAGGTTAGATGATGCTTCAAGTGAAACTTTTGGTCACAAAGATGGCACTGGAATCGTTTGATTTTCTCGTGAGCTCCCTCGGTATGACGCCTGAGGTGATATTTTTTGGCGAAAACTTTGTTGCAAACAGGACACTAAAGAGAGAAGAATCAGTAAGAGGAATATAATGTCAAGAAAACCAATGTAAAATCTACATTGCCTCAAACTTATCTTTGGGAGTTGTCTCTGGGAGTTGTCTACCCAATCCAATCTGTGGTTCGATGTGATTTTCCTGAAAGTAAAGGCAAATGAAACTAAATCAATTAATCAAAGTGTAAGAATAAGTTCGAATTATCACTAATTTTTGATAAAATCGAGCTCGAGCAATACAAATAAAAACTTTTGAAATCCAAAAAAGAAGAAATTACCTGGTCTACATTAGGTTGATATATAAACTGATCTTCAGGTCGTGGGTTCGAATCCCAGCGAGGTCGGAAATTAATTTTTCCGAATTTATTCCTTAGGGACTTCTCCCGGAATTGCCTCCTTCTAAGGACTATAACTTTCTTTCATTTCTATATCGTGATCTTCAGGTGGTTGGTTTTCGAGAAGTGGAAAGTTAGACTGAAAACATAAAGATAAAAGCAAAAAAAGGTAAACATGAAAAACTAAAAAGGCTAAGAAAACATTCTGGAAATAAAACACAAAGATATTTCTAACACACAACAAAATAGAACAATTAAAGTTACCTGGACAAAAGGAGGCGTTATTTCGACAGCTGAATAATTTTCATAAATATCAGCAGTTGAGATGTTAGACTGAAAACAAAATAATAATAATGAAAGTTCAGATATGTATAATGTTGATAAAATTTCTGTTAATAAACTAAGTTACCTCAATTACTGAGGAAAGACTTCGGTAGTTTCTTCGAACAATGCTGGCTGGTGTTCTGGTGTTGAAGTCACGCATGACTAAAATGTAAAAAAAGTCAGTTAACTTAAACAAAAYATTCAAGRTCATTACGMGAAAAAGAACTTACATCAAAATTTAAATCTTGTAGTTGTGCGTTCTCAAATTCCTCTTCCCAACTTTTCCATGATTCGTTCATTTCGGAAGGAATGGAATCATTCTCTACTTCGCTGCTGATATCATTGTATAAAACAGTAAACGAACAAAGCTCGCATAAATGTTGCCCAAGCAATAAACTAGACTAACAAAAGATCAATAACTCTAACATGCAAGTTTGTGCATCACGAATAATAACAATTACTTGTTAAAGCAAAATTTCAACTACTAAACACAAATCATGACAGTTAAGCAAATGCATGAGCAGAAATAAATAAATGCAAAGAGCAGTTAAAGGGGGACTATTACGAAAAATGGTCAAAATTGAAAATAATCTAAAAACAACTTTAAAAGCAGCCCCAGATGTTTAGATATAGTGGATAAACATTCTTTTTGGTATTTTATTCAMGTCCTCTCAAAAATAACGGTGAAATAAGGGTTTTTTGAAAAATCCGCCATTGTTATCGTTGCCTCAGCATTGAACCGAACGTCTTTGACCGAGCGGGCTTGGTATGAGTTTTATTACGTCATACAATCAACACATTCTCGACAAAACATGGGGAATGTTCAGTCTAATGTGGAAGGACTTGTAGAAAATGGTCYAAATACTAGAAATGATAATGAAACTGAATCAGACTCTTCGTGGAGCGATGAACCATCTAATTCTGAGGATGAAATTAACTTTTCATACGAAAATTACGCCGAACCAGTTGCTTCATTACAAGAACAAGAGCAATTCATGAAGGTTGTATCCGAACAAAATGAACGGGACACAGTTATGGGAAATCGTTTTCAAGGAAACATCGAAATAGATTCATGGTAGGATCATACCTATAGTTGTTTTTTTTTAAGTTTACTGATTCAGTAGCGACGACATAGCGTATTTATGTACATATTAATTGATTGATTTGCTTAATGAAATGTGGACTTTGCAAAATGTGCGGACAATCATCGAGTACACTTTATGAAATATGATGTTATTAAATCTCAAATGATTTTTTCTGCAATAAAGGGTTTTCTTCTCATGTGGTTTACAAACTGTTTAGTTCTTTTCTTAAGAGTTGTTATGATAATGTTSACATGTAGGTGTGATTGTTCCCACTGCTCCTTGGAGGGAATATCTAAAAAAGAAGAATGTTTTTGTTGCTGTGAAATAGCAGAGTGCAGAGAGTTGTTAGATAGCATCAACACTAGGTCAAGCCAGAACCTAGACACCAGTAATGTCATGACATGTATATGTTTTCATCCTGGGTTTATCTCTGGATGCCTTGATGAATGGGTACTTTTGCTGGCTGGTTTGGGTCTCAGGACAAGGAAGGGTAAACGCTATGATTTGATGTATAAAGGTGGTTCTGTATCCAGGAATCNAATTTTGTCAATGCATAATTTTGCTTTCTTACGTTTGCTTTATGGAAGAGTGTAAATGACCATTCATGTAATGAATGATGCAAATGCACAGGCCATATGAATTTCGTATTCCTAAATATTGAATACTTAATCTGAAAAATGTGTATATTATCTATATATATACATCTCTACATTATTCAAAAAAAGAGCAACTACTTTTTTGGTCTGGTGCAGGGTCCTCTTGGATGGCTCTTTCTTGGCTCCTTACAATTAGAACAAATGGGTGTTTTTCTTGTCTTTTTTGTTTTTTTCTTGATCTCATTTTGCAGCACTTGCTCTATATTAGTAGGCAGAAAGGTTTTTCAGCAATAGATTTGCAATTGTGCCATAATAATCAAACTGCCTTTAGCTGTATYATTTGTTCTCCATGCAGAATATTSCCAGCAGATATTATAAATTTGWTATCAAATAAACATATAAATCTCAGTAAGCTTTTTTGATAAGATACAAGACATAATCATAARTAACAAATTAAWATATSKTCTGGRAAACAAYACATAATTCTGTTGAAATRATTCTTGTTTTGGGCTAGTCTATTTGTCCTGCTCTAMAGYTATCCATTCAGAGAACACATCRAATACAATATTAAGTTACTTGATGCTAACCTGAACATGTTGGCCCTACAATCGTTATCCCCATTTCCTTCCTTTGTTTGTGTTTTGTAATTGCTTCTGCTTTTGATTCCAAATCAAATGATGAAGACATTGGTTTTGGAATTCTTGCTTGCAGCTCATCTTCTACAATCTTAAGTTGTTTTCTTGGTGTACAAAGCATTGTTTGATAAATTTCTTTAACATAATCTGCAGGGAATTGCAGAATATTGTATGTATTAATGTTTTATATAATTCTGATTGAATTGTTTTAAAATTACAAAATTGGAATTTATACATAACCATCGCTTTAAATCTTAACTCTACACTCAAATTATTAAACGTTTTCTGTACTAAACATGTAAAACTAAAATTTAAGCAACTTAAAGTAATCAACAATTTCTAAAATAATGTATCACAACTGCACTAGTACTTACCAAAATTCTGCTGAGATTTTACCTCTTTCACAGTTGCTTCCCCATATTTCTGCTTGGGATAGTTGACATTGAATTGGCACTCTCCTTTGTCATTCTTTTTTGATGGTCTGTTTAGGTTGTAATTGAAGTGAATTGCTGCTAAGAGGCTCCTTTTTTTCCAGGAAAAAGAAATACAGAATTGAAAAGAAAAACATATTACTCTANAATTGATGAGGTCTTCTTAATGGCATTAGTCAATGTAGTTTTGTTTAACTTTTCCAGCAATTTTTCATAGGCTTCTGAGGCTGAAATGAAATACATTTGATAGTTATACTGTATACTTTACATTTTCTACAGCAAACACCTACGTGTCTAGTGTATATTTACCTTTGTGCATCCATACTTTTGGGACAGTGATAACACCATGATAACACTTATCGAACAGCTTGTTTGGTAGACTCTTGTGTTTGTTAAGTATGTGGTACATYAAGGTTTGAAACTTTGCAAGTTTCAGTTCTCCAAGCTCTGGTTTGGTTGATGTTATGGACCAATAAAAATGATTAACTATTGCTTTCTTCCATCGTCCAATTATCAAGCAGTCTTTTTCTTTACTAAGCTTAGTTAGAACTTTCTGGATTTCTGCAAATAGATAGGAAATATAGTTGTACTTGTTCAGTATCAAAATGTTTTTCTAAGTTTCATCAGCASTCATCATCAATTATGAGTGAGCACTATGAAAATGTCATGCATACTTACTTTTAGCAACATGCCAAAGGTCAAAATAGTGGGAAATTTCCACTTTACCAAGTGCCTTGCACCTCTTTGGGCACTCTTCCCTCATCCACTTGGCAATACTTGTGTGGCGATCAGAGATAAARGTTTTAATCACTAGAGCAGTTGTTAACAGGAATGCAAATGCCCTTTGGTGYCCTAAAAATTCCATCGCAGTGCTACTTCCAGCTTCATTGCACTACATMATTTAAAGAAATACACCTATTATAATCKAATATTGTTCTGACATTTAGCATTATCATTATAAGTCTATTTTATGACAAAAAATGCACATGATCTCATATGATGMAAGGTATTCAAAAATTCAATTCCTATGTTATACCTGCACAAGGACTACTTCTATTATTAAGCCAACAGTGCAACATACAATAGAGTATGTACAAAATTTGGCAGAGTGCCCCATAGAGTCATGTCTGCCATCTCCTCCTATTTCTACTTCCTTTCCTTTTAGACTGTCGAGAATCTTTRGACGGTAAGAACGCCAAAATGTCACTATTGATGGGATTAGTAATTTACGCTGATGGTAGTAATAGGATGCTTCATAGTATGCCAACAGATTCATATGTTTGAACACCAAAAGAAWTTTTRTWATGGATGCTCCTGCACAAAGCACAGCAAAGCTGAGAAGCAAGTTCCCTGCTGGAAACTTTCCTAAGAGCTTGGGCTGGCTGTCCCATGTATATTCTTTCTTGCAAATGTCACACTCAGTGGTAATTGAAATAAATGTGCCAGACTGAGTTATTRTCACTTTTGGTTTTGGATTGTGGCATATATGGCAAAATTGGAATAACATAAGTAAATGTGATAGAAACACAATTACTTTTGGTTGTTCACGCATATCTTTGCCCTCTGTTTCCAGTCTGAAAAAAATAATAATTGCATAAAAAGCTATGTAGTATTTTCTTTTACTTATTCTAGTTGTAATATTTACAATATATATATTAATTATTCTTACTACCAGCAATTAATCTATGTTTTTTTCTGTTTTTTAATGTTCAGGTTTTTTTATGTTTACCAGCTTTTACCTCAAATTGACATTCTTTTCTTTCATGGTGTCTTCAGTCTCTTCATCAGTAGGTTCATTACTATTTTCTACTACTTCTTTATCAGTTTCTACAGTGTGTTCTATGTGTTCTTGGTGAGTGTCTTCTATGTGTTCTTGGTTTCTGGTCTGTGTTGCTGCATAAAACATGTAATTTAATTAGCCATCTCACTGTCATTCTCTTTGGTTAGTTGTCTCTGTACATAATAGTCAATGCTATGGAATGGCAAGGAGATGGCACTAACGAAGAAGTCATAGACATACCTGTGTTTACTGATTCTGGTTTGCGCAGTTTGTTCATTGCACTAATTAGGCCTGCTTCTTG